GTCTGGGAGTGAGTCTGTGCTTTACTGGACCAAATTGAGCAGAAGAAATTTACTGCGAGCGTCATATAGAATGACCATGAATACTATTCTTTTCAACATAACCTCATTTTTTACATTTTAGGGCTGTATCAACAACGGAACAGTTTGATCGCTGCTCTGTAGGTGTATCGCCTGAAGGAGATCCGGATACTGCCTTCTGTGGACAAATGGGTGCGGTGTACTTGTTCGCTGATTCATTATCGTTAGAGCAAGCAAACTCACTTTTTTGCTTGGGTCCTGGTTATCAGTCGTATTTCGTGCACGATTCTGGAAGTACTTTACCTGATGGATATAAGAAGGTAGGTTGGAAGTGATATCAGTTCATTTTCTAAGTTCAGTTATATTTTAGCATCTATTTGATGGTCGATTGAGCAGTGTTCTAATAATGGCTTATTGTCCAAAGAACTGCCATGGACAACTTTGTCTAAACTCACCGTCGAAGGTGCCATCAACATATTTTGTGCAAGTACCACATGCGGTTATGAAGGAGGTAAGTATTTTATCATCCTCTCTTTTCTGCCGTGATTCGCATTGAATCCCTTCTAAATTTTTCGTGCACTTGACTGTTACTATCTGACACCGTTTGAAACCTAACTCTTTCATTTTTAGGTCATATTGCATTGACTATCTCGAAACATTTATGTGATGTTATGCTTTCAGGGTGTGGAAGTCATCACTACGCATTCTATACATAATTCGTTGCGATCAGTCGGTGGCATACAGATACTTCTCCCTCTTTTCTCGCAGCTTGATCTTCCATGCGAGGATGGGACGGCCATGGATGGCGATATGTGGTATGTTTGAGTCTTTTATGATTTTTAGCAATTGATTTTGTTTTTTGGCCGTTATTTTCTACTTCATATCTGTGCGCTTGTCTTATTTACTTTGTGTACACGTCCGAAGTTGAGGCTTTTTCTTTTTTTATACAGCTTGTTGCTACGTTTGTCTCATTTGCTTTGAGTTGTTAGAAGCCTACTTTAGCTCCACTCTGCTCTCGCTTATTTCCCTACTGTTGTCCAGTTCGCAGACAATACAACAGCAACTCTACCATAGCAAAGGATTTTTGATCATCGGTCACGCCTTGCAAAAGGTAAGTAATGCTCACCATCTTTGGACTACTTGAAGTTACACAATTTTTGTTGGAAGTTTATCGACAGTTAATGTTTTTCTTGACTCTGCATAATACAACTTTGTTCTCTATCATTCTGTT